ATTCACTATGGCACCTAATTTTTCATCGTGGTCAATAAAAAAAGTAGAAAATTTATCAACAATCACAAGTACGAGCAACTTTAAGAGTGTTGACGCACGTTTCGCCAATTCATTTATTTTTCAAAACACGTCGTTCGTTTTTTCGAACAGTTGCCGTGCTACTAGTCTGCAGACTTATAAGGTAAAGAAAATTGATTTAAAAATGATCGAATGAGCTATCTATATCATATCTTCAATTACTTGTATAGAAGCACACAACAACAACAGTTGCTTCAGAAAATAGTCAAACAAATACAAATCTGCTGACTACTGGTCTGAGAAACTACTTTATTGGAAGTTTTGTTTCAAGATTGGAAGCACCCAATGCAATATTGACTATCTTAGAAATTGATAGATGGGTAGAACAACTAAGTGAAAATACGATCGTTAACACCAATACATATTTTCTCATGTCTCGAGGGACAAGTGAAAGTGCAATCATATTGGGTGCTTTCTTTGCATTTGGCTCTGGGGGCCAAGTCATTACGAGTGCTAATTTTCATAATGTAATTCACGCAAATATTTCGACTGCAGCAATTATTAAGCTCAAATCCTTGATTGGGGTCTCTCGTCTTAATATGCTGATTATCAACACTCCTATGGATGCTCTGAAAGTGAACGATCACTCAGGCAAGTCACTTGCATCAGCGATAATCACAATAAATGCATATAGCAACAATCGGTTAGTGTGTGAAAACATGAACGTCTCTTTATATTTCAAAATTCGTGAAGATATTCGACCCAATGTGATCGCTGAGTATTTTTGCTCTTTTTACGATACAAATATAATGAAATGGAGTGAAACAGGTTGTACCATTCCAACTTTCAATCGCGTCTATAATCGATACGAATGCAGTTGCAATCATCTGACGTCATTTGCTCTTCTCTGGTTGCCAAAAGATTTAGACATTGGAAATAACTCTTCATTTTCTCTCGATCCTCAAGACATAACTACGATCGCATTCGAATTAATTTCAATTGTGTGCTTATTACTCATCCTTATTTATAACAATGTTATTCTATTTCGAGAGAGTCCCGTATACTGGTCACCAAGAAAATATATTTCTAACATATCAATGGCCACTACTATGATATTCTTCATCTTCCATATCGCACTCGGTTTAACAGTTTTCACTCGAACAGAAAACTCAACCCAGACAACGTGTTTTACCAGTGCTAGTGTTCTCATGTTCTTCGTTTATTTTTTGTTAGTCTTCATGGTGTGCATCAAAACAGGTGTCAGCTTTTTTAATTACTATCACTTCGTTCGATTATTTCCGGGACCATCATTTCGAATGCTTGTCGTCATACTCATTACAGCCTTCCTCATTTCTATATCAATAGTTGCTTTTGCTATCGGTTTCAATTCTGATAGATCGTTCGCTATCATTCAATTGTATCCCAGCAAGATTTGCTGGTTCAGTCGGCGAGTTATCTATTATTTTCTAACCATTCCAGTTTGCATTCTTCTTGCTCTTAACGTTATTATATTTATCCTTGTTACCAAAGCGATTATACGTTATATACCTCGGGGCATTCTCCACAAAGCGGTGGTAAAGTCAACGGACTGGTCTGGTAAGATATTAAACTAATTCAACATATTAACGAACCAATGTATGATCATAGATTTGGAAAGTTTCCTGATTTATTCTTTCATATTTTTATGGATGAGAGATGGTATAATAGCAAAAGTCTCGAGGAAGTGTGAGTCAAAAATGAATAACTAATGAGTAATGGATGCATAGTGCTATTCATACAAACACGTGAAAGAGAAATAATGAACGGCTAACGCCTGATTATTGGTCACACTTTTTTGCAGGCTAAATGAGTCATTTGGACAATTTGATTGAAAAAAACTCAAACGAATTGATGGAGATCACTATTTTACCACAAGGAAAACTAGCGAACAACGTTCTTCTTTGACTTGTTTTTCTGTTTTGAAACTAAGATTTTATTTCTCTTCTACCGTCTAATTAGGGTACGAGGAGTATTTCGGTTCGAATGACGCACTCATTTGATTATGGAATCACTCATTTAATTAAAAACAGTTCGAGTCATGAGAAAAAGACCTTTTCATTTTAACTTCAACAGTTACCAATGTGTCTGCATTGATCACTCCTTTGGTATTGTTATTCATATAGGAAACTTGTTGCATTTTAGTTTATCAAGATCTATCAGACAGTGTACTATAGTACGATGGCAAGTCAAAATATTTTTTCGTAGCTAAATAATGTTGTTAGTGTTAAAGCAAACGCTTTCAAATGACGTTGCCTTAATTTTACCTTACAATGGAGGGAGGTGCACTGTAAGTTAAATTGACTGACCACGTTCGGATCAAATGATCACTCTCACCGAGAAACTAACAAATTTTAAATGTGAGCGGCCATTGGCGTGCCTAGAGCAAGTTATTTAAACTTCAAGGTATGTGAAAGTTAGGTATAAAAACGAATCAGAAAAGGTTTTCTCCACTATTGTAAGGACAAAATATAGTGTTGTTCGGGTCGATTATGGAGTTTGTAGGAACCTTCTTCCATATGGCCTGAACAACACCATGTTTCGTCCTTATAATAATAGAGTGAATTTTTTTGGTGACTGATAGAAAACACCGTTTTCTATGAGCTACAGAAAAAATTCACTCTACTATTATAAGGACGGAACATAGGGTTACTCGGGCCATATGAAAGAGCATCCCTGATAACCCTCAGATTGGCCCGAATAATCCTATGTTCCGTCCTTATAATAGTAGAGTGAATTTTTTCTGTAGCTCATATAAAACGGCGTTTTCTATCAGTCACCAAAAAAATTCACTCTACTATTACAAGGATGAAACATGGTGTTGTTCGAGTCAAATGGAAGAGGGTCCCTACAAACTCCACAATCGATCCGAACAACACTATGTTTTGTCCTTCCAATAGTGGAGAAAACCTTTCCTGATTCATTTTTATACCTAATTTTCCCATACCTTGAAGTTTAAATAACTTGCTCTAGGCGCGCCAATGGCGGTCATATTTTAAATTTGTTAATTTCTCGGTGAGAGTGGTTATTTGTAGGGATACACCAAATCCAATTCCAGTCAAATCCAAACCCAATTCTAGAATTGGATTTGACTACCTATAGCTACCAAGAATATAGAAATTTTCGGTATCAAAAACCGTAAAATATGACCAAACCTTAGTATCTTTTAGATGTAGTTTTCTTCGCTCTATCTAAAGGCCACATGAGATTTCGCTTAATCTCTAAAAAGACATTAAGATTTGACTGAACAAGTGAGAAAAACTCAAATATTTGCATCAAATCCAGTCAAATCTTAACGCTTTTTTAGAGATTAAGCCAAATCTTATGTAACCATTAGATAGAGCCAAGAAAACTGCATCCAACGGATGCCAACGTTTGGTCAAATTTTAAGGTTTTGGATACCGAAACTCCTATATTCTTGGTAGCTATAGGTAGTCAAAATCAATTCCAAGTCAAATCCAAATCCAGTCAAATCCTGTCAAACTCAAACCCAAATCTAGTCAAATCCTATCATACCCAGGATTTGGGTTTGACTAGATTTGGATTTGGTGCATCCCTAGTTATTTGACCCGAACATGGTCAGCCAATTTAACTTACAGTACACGCCCCTCCATTGTTAGTTGTAAATATAAGAGAGTCTATTAATGACCGTTGCGAAAAGTATAGCTTTCTAAAAATCGAACGACAACAAAGTGTTGTATTTGTTTTTGATTATTGCTTATCGATCTGCGAATGACAGCTTCATAATTCCTGAGCCGAAAAGGAAGTGGTTAAAAAGAGAAGTTTGTAAGGTGAACGCAATTCAAACTTCAAGTAAAATTTTTTTTTCGCTTTTTTTACACCATCTGATAGAGCTTGAGCTGCTGATCACGAATATCTACTTTTTAGCCTTAGTGAATGCTTCCTTCCGGTCGAAAAATACGAAATACTCAAAGGATTTTTTTCCTTAAAAAATCACATCTTTTTTGAAAATCAACAAAATTTTCTACTTTACTCTTTTTTTCAGCTTTTGAAAATAATTTTTTCAGATTCAGCATGAAAAACTGATTACAGAAAAGTCGTTAAATCGACTCTAGACGCAAAACTCTATTGATGGTGGCCCTTCGAATCAGGTCGGGTAAGCTGCATATAGGCCGATTTTGTCATCCTATCTAGTTTTTCTGTGTAAACGATGGAAGCAAATATTTTGTCTCATTCGGCACCTCATACCATGTATTACAAAGTTAGGCATCGTTTTTTTTCTCTTTCCTTTCTTGTGTCGAGAAAAATTGTTTTTACTGTATGACACAAAAAAGGGGAAGGTCGTTTTCCCATAAAACATTTATTTTTTATTCAAATCAGATGAAAATTTGTTGACATAGGTAAAAACTGATGAGGAATCTAATGGGAATACTTTGAAGATCTTTCGAGGATCTTCAAAGGGTCTCTAGAAAACTTTTTCTGGAAAAAAATAGTTTGCTGATATTAATCAATATTTCATGACTTTTAATGGTCAGGTTGGTTAGTTTCCATGCTTGGCTATGTAATATGAATGGGAACAAGCAGGGTAAAAGTATCAAAGTAGAAAAGAATATGTTCATTAAGGTTCGTTTATGTTCTTATTTGATATTCTACGATGTGATTGAACTGATTGTTTGCAGAATTGACTAAAAAACAATTTTAATACATCAGCATATGTCTGACCTTGAGAATATGCTTCAATTGAACGCCAAAACCGTCGGAATAATTTTAATGCAGTTTTTCGTTCCACAAAATGTATACGCGAATCCGATATTAGTTTTATCATTTTTTCAAAGCTTTGATCTGTGCGTGACCTAACAAATGCTTTTTGATTGCACCAAAGCGCTTCGATTGCATTTAGTCCGCAATGGTATTTTGGACAATATATAGTCTTAACTTTATATTTAGTTCCTAACATCTCCAGTTTTGTAACCTAAGAAATAAAATTAATGACATAGGGTCGAATATGTGTGGAAAAAACTGGAATGGTATCCACTCACATTTTGAAAAGCTGGATGTGTTGAAAGTATTTTAATAATTTCATCTAGTTTAATCTTAGCTGGTAATTGTACACCTAAATCTTTACATAGTTGAACTAAACCTTTTGATTTACCTTTGTATTCTCCCTCTTTAAAATAACAATCAATAGCTTTTTTTCTGTTATTTTCATCAACATATTCAATCTGTTCAACCGGGCAACGAGTGCCAATGGTTTTACCAAAGTCTTGCAATGAATACGATTTAGTAGTAAGGGTTCTTGCGTTGTCCACGATAATTTCTATCGCATTGTCCTTGTATTCTTGTTTGAATTCTAGCATTTGAAATAGTCTCTCAAACTGTCCCAGAATCGTATCATTATCGAAATACGCGTCTGTTCCAATGTTAATACTAGCTGTTCCTGTACGATCGAGATAATTAACATCACTATTGACGTTCAATGATTTATATTTCGCAACAGCTTGTTTCCATTCATTCTCAGTAAGCTGAAAAAATGGTCCACTAGGATGTTGGACGACAAAATCTGAAACCATATGACTACGACCACGACTTTTTGAAAAAAACGGTATATTTTCTTTGAAAAACCAGCGTTTAGAGCTAACTTCACCACTCCGAAAGGTTGATTCATTAGGAACTAGCAAAGATAAACAGGAAAAAGAATATAATAAAAATTATATTCAACAAGTTTTGATTGCTGTGCTTCTATATAAGTATTCGATGTGGAGTTTGAGTTGGAATCTTCCACATAGGTGTTTCACCATCAGTAATTGTGTAATAAGAATCTTTAGGTGCTAGAAAGTAATTAATAAATTCAGTACGATGTTTTACTAAGTCGT